CCCCCCCCCAAATCAAGTTGAACTGCCCCAGCCACAGTAAAAACCACGTAACGTGGGAGCAAATACGTTTCTAGCTAAACGTAATTGAGAATGCAGTTTAGTTCTGTGGGAATGTAATTTTTAGGAGACAGGGTTGTTTACAGAGATGTTGTATGAGAAACCTATGTGAGTTTGGAAAATTGCACAGTATAAATCTATTTTAGTATACCTCAACAATGGCATTATGATCAGTAGAAATGGTCATGACATGGGCCCTTTAAAATTGTCAAAACTCAAGAAATTATGTTTTTCAAGAATGGTACAGGGGTGATATAAATATGGCTTTCTGTCAAGCAGCTTGATAGCCCTCTTGTACAGCTGTTCTATGGGTTTAAGGTTTGTGGTACAAGCAAATGACCAGTTTGTGAAACAGTATTCAATGTGGGATAGAATCATACAGTGGAGGTATGACTTTGCAGCATTGACAGTTAAGAAAGGTCTAATTTGTTTAACATTTTGCAAGTTGAATTTAATAGTATTGGATACTTTCTTAATATGTTTCTTAAAAGTCAATTTCGAGTCCAGTATGACTCCAAGATACTTGAACTGGGAGACTAGTTCTATTTCTGATCCATTTAAAAACACATTAGATCCTCCGATTTTGACTCGTAGTTTACTGAACAATCATGCATACTGTTTTTTTTACATTGAACTGTAACCAAATGTTGTTCAGCCAGTGTTGAACCTTGTCCAAAGCATTGATGCAAAATAACTCATATGGAGAGTGAAATGGTGCTAAAGGATAGGGAGGAGAGAATGACATCACTTCACAGGAAGGGCAGCACAGTGTGGTCTGAGCACAACTAACATGAAAGTCATGAGGCCTCTAAAGTCCAAACTTTGCAGCAAAGTAAAACAAATATACACTACTTGGTTTTGAGCACATCATATCAGGTCTTGTTTTTTAATGGAAACAAATAAAGACAAGGAGTTAGATAATAAAATCAAAAGCAATCTAGGGCGAAACACACAGGAAGCACTCGGAAATGACCACAAACATCAAATGACTTGTTGTTTTCACAGACTAACAGCAATGCTCCTGAAACTGCCATCACTCTATCGTCCATTTCTATAGTATACTGTTGCTTTTCTTTAGCCGATGCATTCTATGTTAGCCTACGTTTTTCTGCACAAGATCTCAAAAATGTAATTGGAAAATTAAAGTAAAACATTTTCCCCTCTCTGAAAAACTGGGAACACAAGGAATAAACCAGGAACCAACACAGAAGGACCGACCACACCAGGTAACATAGAAAAACTGAAACAATGGGGAAAACAGGGATATAGATAACTAATTGGGACGGCTGGAAAGGCCAGGCAAAAACACAACAGGGTGATTAGAGATAGATGGATCAAATCAGGGCGGGGCAAACAATTACAAAAGGCGGGAAAATGCAAAGAAAGAGTCAGTTTTATGGTCAAGGCTTATTATGGTCCTGTTATTGTTTCAATTTTCGACGAGGGGATACGTTTTGGCATTTGACAAGTAATGTCTTCACAGGTCAATTAACATGATCTACAGCAGGGGTGTCCAAACTACGGCCCGGTGGCCAACTGCAGCCCTTTATCCACTTTGAGCAAATTCAAAAAGTATAATGGAGTAGGCCTATGGCCCATAACGGTGGGTTACGTATTGTAACCCTAGTTATATGAGCACAGGCGGAGCCCCCTACTGGACTCTATGGGTACTACCTCTCAACCATACTATGCAAGCATTCAATTACTGAGATATGTATAACCGTAGCCGGCCCCCTGAATGCGTGCGCAAGGCAAGGCGGCCACGCGTCCCGTTCCCGTCATCCTACACTTCTCTTCACACAGGCTCCACCCTCTACTGGACTCTATGAGCCCTGATGCCTAAACGCCCTGTAGTCCGACAACATCGAGTCACCACACTGCCCCTGACCGGCTTTTGGTTCATGAACTGTTAGCACCGTGTTATGCATGCCCACAACACCTCGCGGGAACGTGCATAGCATAAAGCAAATACTTCAGTTGATCTGTTCTGCAAAGTTAGGTTTCCTTTTGGCATGCATAACACGGCATAATACCGGAGCCCCGCTGCGGGGAAACTTTGGCGCTGTTCTGAGTTTGTTCTAATCTGTCACAATGACTGATGGCTTTCTGATTTTTCCGTCATTGTTAAAAAAAAAAACGTCAGACGGAAAATAATCGGTTAACGTGACATCTGCTTCAGAGACATGTTTTGAATAGATATGGCCCTATAATATATTGTTCAAATATAGCATACAAGTTGAGCATTAAGGCTAGCAGTCTGCTTTAACACTTGTTTTTTTCTTGGAGCACTAACATGTCCCCTCCTCTCTTTTCGTTAAGAACCCCCTCACAGGAGCACAGTTCAGTCGCGGGCGTTGGCAGAGCTTCAGTCACACCCAGCATGAAGACCTCTACCTTGATAACAGCTTTAAGTCTCTGCAGCTTCTGTGAGTACTGCCTTTGAATTACTCTCAATGGCATGTATGTCTTTGGTGATTTTGCTTAAATCCAAATTAACTTTTTCATTGAAAGTAAATATATATTTTTCTTCGCTTTTTGTTTCAGGCTCGACTTCTGTCCCGGTTTCTGTGGAGGTCCAACCTGGTGAAAATGCCACATTGACGTGCGCCAACATTTCCAAATATGACACCATGACATACTGGTTCAGACTGGTGAACAGAACCGAGGTCAGCTGTGTCGCCGTGTTGATGAATTCTTACAGCAAGGTTTCCTACTGTGATGGAGTTCAAAAATCTAAATTTGAGATGACATCCAACACCTCCAACCTCTTTCTCAAAATCCAACAAGTGAATGTATCTGACACTGGACTTTACTTCTGTGGGTTTTACATAGCTGGGATTCCATATTTCAGTAATGCACGTTTGACCATTACAGGTAGGATTATTGTAAAAGTACTCTCTGTGCTTATCCTGCTTAAAAGACATATTTTGTTAATTAAGTTGAATAGTATGGTAAAGTGCTCTTCGAGATTAACAGTAAAACTCTTCTCAAAAATGTTAACTGTTCAAGTTTTTTTTTTATTTGAACACATTCACACCTGTAATATTAACAATGTTAAATACCGCTTTTTTTTAGGAGGCGGTGAAGAAATTGGAAAAGAAATGCCTTGGCTGACTTTTACCCTGGGCACTCTAACTGTTTTCTTCATGGTGGCCGTCATTGTTTTGGTTGTTAAAATAAGGAAAATCCAGAAAAGTAAGGCTGTCACAGTTTGTTGAAAAATCATTCATTTAAAGTTGTAAAAGACACATTCAAATCAACATATTCATTTAAACCTCACTAATCAGGCTTATCTTTGTCACAAAGCTGCAATTGAAGAACTGCATCATGAGAGAAACAAGGTATTAGTATCAGTTTTTCTTGATATTCTTTAATGGTTGTACTAAACAAGTTTTGACCTTAGGTCAGTACAGATTATGTGCTGACTTTTGAGATCTGTAGTTAAAATACTGTGTATGACCCTAAATATTGATTTACAGAATGTGGGCTCTGATGACCTGACCCGTACAGAGTGGAGGTTTCTTCCAAAGACAATAAGGAGCAGGAGGTCTGCAATGGAGAACGAAGTGGAGACTCATGTTGTTTATGCTGCCACCAGATAGACTCATAGTCCCTGTAACTGTCTGCAAACGGGTGCTTTATCATATCAAGTTTACTCACTTTCAATGTTCTTTTTAAATAAACTTCAAATAATCTCAGAAAAAAGTACTGGTTTGCCTCTGATCGTTATCTGAGAGGAAATACTATATATATTTTTTGTATGGGGAAGAGCCAAAAAGGCATTGATGATAACAAAGTCAAAATTACTCATATGGAGAGTGAAACAGTAATAAAGGGTAGGGAGTGACATCACTTCACAGGAAGAGACAGCACAGTGTGGTCTGAGCAAAACTTACATGACAGTCCCGAGGCCTCTAAAGTCTATGCTTTGCAGCAAAGTCAAAAATTAAAATGCTTGGTTTTGAGTACATTATACTGTAGCAGGTCCTGTGTTGTAGAATAGGAAAAGATAGACGATATATGCAAAAACCAACAGCAATCGAGGATGACAAACACACAGGAAGCACTCGGCCATGACCACAAATCTTAAATGACTTGTTGTTTCACAGGCCAACAGTAATGCTACTGAAACTGCCATCCGTTTTAACCTGTTTGAAGCCATGTTACAAAGTATCACAGCAGCAAGTGCAAACATTTAGTCAGGGATAAAGTTGAGGGTTGGACCTAAAGACAAAACAAACAGAAGGCAGGTATAAATAGAAAAAAAGCGTACTTTGATTAACGTTTAGCTGGTACAAAAACAGCTAAAGATGAAACTGGGGGAGTAGGCTAAAGTAATACAGAGAACAATGGGGAAAACAGGCATATATATACACATAAATAATCGCATCCACAAGCCACAGCTGGAAAGGGTAGGCCAAACACAAGTACAGCAGGGGGATTATACACAGGTGGGTCCAATCAGGGCGTGGCAAACAACCACAAAAAGGGGGGCATCAGGAACCAGACATGGCAATAGGAGGGTAAATTTTAATTTGCTAGAATAATTCAACGTAAAAAATATACAATTTCCTTCCTGCTACTGAGTTTTTTATTCTGTTTGACTTGATAGTAATCTTAGGCGTCTGCAAATTCAATCAGGAGAGACGTGATGTATGGAATACATGTTTATTATCGGGTCACATTATATAAATGAAACATAATGATGACAGTTTATAACAAGTGAATGAAATGGTGTTTGGCGATTAGGCCCAGGTTTTGTAGGATGTCATTCGGGAAGGGAAGAACCGTTTCCGATGAACCCCCTTGGGTCTAGACACTGGTGGTGGTGATAAGTGGTTAGGTCCGGTTGGAAGGGAGAAGGTTGAGCTTGGCCCTGAGTTGGAAGCAGGAGGCGAAGGGGTGGAGGAGGGTTGCGCGTTGACACCTGGAAGACAGCTGATGGAAAAGGGGAGAGCATATATAGAGGGATTAACAGGTGCGATGATTAGGCTTGTGAATGGAGGGAAGTGATAGGTTAGCTGAGGAGTGGCGCTCCCTATCATTTAGTGAAAGGAGCGAGTATTGCCATGACGCGCAATACAAAGTGATAGGTCTTCCTGCCTGAACTTGCGCTGAGCTTCATTTCAATCAGGAGAGACGTGATGTATGGAATACATGTTTATTATCGGGTCACATTATATATAGACCCTCCAGAAAAACGCGGGCAACAAGTGAATGAAATGGTGTTTGGCGATTAGGCCCAGGTTTTGTAGGATGTCATTCGGGAAGGGAAGAACCGTTTCCGATGAACCCCCAAAAGAAGTGAAAGTATGAAGTACTGAACGTGATGAAATCGTACCTTGTGGGATGCAGTGGAAATCTATGGATGAAATGAGAGGTTAATACATGTGGGGATTTAGACATACTGATGCCTCCTAGGCATCCTCCCTGGACTTACAGGGCTTCCTGGACGTACAGGGCATCCTGGACATACAGGGCGTCCCGGACATACGGGGCATCCCGGACGTACGGGGCATCCTGGACATACAGGGCGTCCTGGACATACAGGGCTTCCCGGACGTACGGGGCATCCCGGGCGAACGGGGCATCCCGGACGTACGGGGCGTCCCGGAGTACGGGGCGTCCCGGAGTACGGGGCGACCTGACTTCGCA